GTTATGCATGTGGGAACAGAGTATATGGGGACTCCCTGTATTTTCTGCTCAATTTTCTGTGAATCTAAAACTGCTTAAAGAAATCTATCTATCTGTCTGTCTGTCTATCTATCTATCTATCTATCTATCTATCTATCTATCTATCTATCTATCAATCATCTACCCATCTATCTATAAAACTCCTCCAGGAATTTCAATGTGCAGCAAGATTGGGGGGGGACCAAAGTTATTTTCTGGCATACAAAAAGCAGAAAAGAGTCATAGTTAATAGTGGTAACAGGCATGGTTAACAGGCTTCCAGGGTTCAAATCTCAGATCTGCAATTACCAACTGTGGAACCTTAGATGTTTACTTAAACTTTGTAAGCTTTTGTCTTTTTACTCATTAAATATGAACGTATTTACTTCACAGGTTTATTGGGAAAATGAAATAACACATGTGTGCACTTGTCCTTCAAGTTTCTTGCTTGGGTCTCTTCCAAGTGTACTTTCTTTCCTGCTCTAAAGCTCTTAAATAAACTTCCACTCCTGCTCTGAAATAAATAAATACATGAATAAACAACACATGTGAAGTGTTAGGCACTTGTCTTGCACATAGTAAGTCCTTAATAAATGCTAATTATCACATTCTGGAATCCTGTAATTATCATCACTCTCTCCACTACCCTTCCTGTCTACATAGGTTTTACTAAACTTCTTGTGGTTCTGGGAACGTGCTGGCCTCCTGCTCATGTTCAGACGATGTGTGCTTCTTCTATAGTCTAAACCACCTCCCAGCTCACCCCCTCCCCTTCCTGATTGTGTGTGGGATTGCTGTTTCTCCTCCTGCCTTGGCTCAGGCATGTTCCCTGGAGGAAGTTTCCCTGACTCCAGTGTGGATTGTTTATATTTGCTGCTTATCTTCAATCTGCTGCTCCACATTCAGTATCTACCCTTCTCTACCCTGAGGTTTATCCCCATAGCCAACCTCAATGGACTACATCAATGGGTTTCCTCACTCTGGCTGATGAATGAATTCAACCAATGGGAAGTCTTGGTAGGAAATCCGAGAAAAGGAGACGGACAAAGTCTGGGTACTAATTTCCCCCTTCCAGGGTTTCCTGGAGCTGTGAAGATTCAGTCACCTGAAAGTACTGCCCTTCATCACCCCCCAAAACACAATCTTGAATACCATAATCCCAAATATTGAAATCCTGAAAGATAAAAATTCCTAAAGATCAAAATCTCTAACATCTAAAAGCCCGGAAAATCACAGTTCCAAAAGAACAAAATCCTGAGTGTTGAAATCCTGAAAGCTGAGTTCTGGGGAACGGGTTAGTGAATTTTCTGTTAAACACAAGATAGTTGCATCATTATTTGCATCAGGTTAGGCAAATCTATCACCTTACTATTGTCTTTATTTGAATTTGGCGGAAAATTCAGATAAGTTGGATTGACCACGCTACATAGCAACGACAAAAACTCCATTTAAAAATGCATCATTTTTCTGCATTGGCATTCCTTCCAACTGTTGAAATTCCAGGAGCTTTTAATGAATTAAAGCTGCATTTGCCTGAAGAAACCAGCAAAGTTACTGACAGATTTGAAAACAGTTACACACACAGTAGAATAAGAAGAAACACAAAGGTATTGCTGTTTGCACACTAGATTGTTTCTGCCAAATTTGTGGTCTTATATATGAATGCGTGCAGAAGGGATTTACGAATACCCAAAGCAACATAGAAACATGCCATAGAAGATGAGAAAATTTAATAGGGAGTACTCATGTCCATTTATATCAAATTATAGAAGAATTTTTAAAAAAGTAGTGCCATACAGAAAATGAGTGTGAGCAATTCTCCAAGGAGAGACACACCCTAAAAGATAAAAAGAAAACAGCTATTCAAGATGCAAGACTTCAAAATATCATGATCATAAAAGTCGGTCCACTCTTATGGACTACCTCCGAGCAATTGCCCATAATATGTAATATACCTTTACATATGTTGAATTTTTAAAGTTTTTTTGTTTTGTTTTGTTCCCCTACTATTTTAAATTGTCACCATTTTTTTTGACAATTTGTTATGTATTCCATCTTTGCATCATTTCCAATACTGGGGGTATAAATTGTGCAAAGACTTTTAGAGAATTCTTATTTATTTTATGCATTTTTTGCAAATTTGACTCCTTCATTGACTTTGTCCATGTATGTAAAAACACTGGAACTTTCTCAGTAAATAAAGAGATGTCCTTTTTGTATACCTGCTTTTATGACAGATAACATTTCTCAAGACCTTAGCTCTTCGGGCAACTGCGTATATGGTAGTAGTGGCCTAGTGTGGTTTTTGATTGATCTTGTCAAAATACTTAGGTTGTGTGTCATAATATTTCAGATGACTGCAGTTATAAAGCTGGGTGCACACCATTACCAAGCATAGTGATATGCATTATATATTTTGCTTTTGACTGACTTCCTTATGACTATGGTTCGTCTGCTCATACTGTTATGTTTGTGTGACTGTCATTAGTATAGCTGAGTATTTACACTGACAAAAATGTTATTATTGTCTATTTTATCTTGTCAAGTGACCTATGAAGAGTTCTGTTGTGTTTTTATGTCTCCCAAATACATCGCCTTTTAAAATGTAAATAAATGTTTTTAAAGAATTAAATTTTTTTTTTTTTTTTGCAGAATTGTGTTTTCAGGATTTTGATCTTTCAGGCTTGTGATTTTTTGAATTTTAGACTTTAGGGATTGTGATCTTTCAGGATTTCAGCCTTCAAGATTATAGTGTTTGGGATTGTGTCTTTCATGATTATGGCCCAAACCCCTGGCAAAGAGGTCTGATTTCCCAGTGCTGTCCTTGGATGCAGCTACTAGGCACCCTATCCTCAGAGCCCAGTGTTGGTCCTGGAGCCCCTATGTAACTAGCTCTGGGTACTGTACTTTCCCTCACAACCTCCCTGCACTCTCCGCTGCCTTTGTAAGTTGTCCCTTTATTAAACCACCTCAGATTACCCTAATCAGAGAGTGCCATCTCTCCTCTGCTGGGACCTTTCCTGTGTTCTTCTGGGGCCTCTATCCCTCCTCACTATCCATGGCGCCACACCAGTCCCTAGTTCGCAGCATATGAATGGGTTTAATTTCCAAATTTCTTCGACAGATGAGAGCTGGAAGTAGAATCATCACGTCTCACAGAAACAATACCATCACTGGCACTGAATTTGTCAGATGAGGCCATCAGTGCCCATTTAGACCAAGTATAATTGAAGTTTTACACCCAGCCATCCTCTCCCCTCCTGAAGGTGCCCAGAGGACTTGTGGTTCCCCTTCCCTCCCCACTTTCTGTAGCCCCCTGGACTCTTCTTGCTCCTCCCTTCACCTGCAGGGACTCAGCACTCACAGCTCACTTTCACCCTCAGAAAGTCCAGGATAGGGCCTCGGGAGGCAGGACTGGAGAAGAGTAATTCCCCCACCAAAGCAGATGCTCCTCTCATCTCTGCTGGGACCCTGTCCCAACCCCAGTCCCAGCTCCAGTGTTGAGTATTCAAATTCCCAGATCCATCCCATTTTGGTTGGAGGCGGGGAACAGGGGGTGTTGCTAGATCAAACATAGGATGTTCAGTTAAATTTGAATTTTAAGTAAGCAACAGATAACTTTTTTAGTATCAGCTAAATATGTCCCATGCAATATTTGGGCATACTCAGGCTAAAAAAGTATCCATTGCTTATCTGAAATTCATATTCAACCCGGTGCCTGTATTTTTATTTGCTAAGTCTGGCAGTCCTACATCTCTTCAATCTTTTTTTTTTTTCTACTGTTCCCATTTCCACCTACCCAAATCCATATTTTGACACAAATACAATTCTTGAAAAAATGACTCGTATAGACTCTCTGATTTTCCTCTGACATTTAAGCAAATTGTTGAGTCTTTGTGTTCCGAATCTCCACGTGACACCAGTAAGCATCACATATTTTGAAGCCACTGACAAGATGTGTAGTGCTGGCATCTTCCTGCCTCCATTACTTTGCCTGTAGAATGAGGCTTGCAATTCCTAGCCCTGCTGTCACATAGTAAGTGTGCAATAAAGGCTCACTAATATTTTTAAAGCACGTATCTGTCAGTAACTCAGGGTGTGCGTGTAGAGGGTATGGAAAGAAGTCTTATTGCTCCCTATTAATAATAAACATATAACACCAGGTATCCTCCGAAGGACTACATCTGCATTAGGAATTAAATGGATCTTGTGGGGTTTTGTTGTTTTTGGTTTTGTTTTGTTTTGTTTTGAGACAGGATCTCACTCTGTTGCCCAGGCTAGAGTGCTGTGGTGCGATCTCGGTTCATGGCAGCTTCGACCTCCCAGGCTCAGGTGATCCTCCCACCTCAGCCTCCCATGTAGCTGGGACTTGTGATGACCTTTTCATTCTGCCCCCAAGGACCATATAATTTGTTGGAGAAAATACATTCAGAATTTTCCCAGGAATAAATTATTCACTATACCACTCCTGATGAACCACTTCCTTCATGTCCTGGGAAATTTGGGGAAAAGATAGAAGGAGGGAAAGCAAATAAAGTCCCCCACCCTCCATCTGTTCCTGGCCTTATGCTGTGCTCTTGGACTACATTATATGCAGTCAGTCCTCAAACAACCCTATGAGGTAGACATCATCAGCTCCATTTCACAATACAGTGTTGGGAGTCAGCAAGGGTAAGCAACTTGCTGATGATCACAAAGTTGCTAGGAGAAGAGATGGGATTTAAACAAGATTGCCTCATGGAAAACCATGAGCTCTGAAGGAGGGTGCAGGGCCTCCTGGTCTGTACTCTGTTGGTTGGCGGAGGGACCACTTGTCAAAGTCACTGGGTGGGACTAGCTGGCTTGTGATCTTCATCTGGGAAGAGAAGTATTGTATCCACGAATCATTTGGATTGGAAATGGCTTTGGGAGCCCTCTTGGGAGCAACTTATCATTTTCCCTGTGCTCTTTTAATTAAGAAGAGGATGGCAGGCCCACAGATGGTGAATGTGGACATCCTTTATTCTGGCTAATGACCTGCAGCCCTGGAGGTGTATGGGTGAGGGCTGGCACCCTGAGGTCCTGCACACATGGGCCACTTCCTCTTCTGGATGACACTTGGATCAGTTGGAAGCTCTCAAAATGAGGGATAGATGTCTTTTCATACTTCTGTATAAAGAGGGGAGACTTCATGTCACTCTCTGACATATATCAGAAAAGGCTTCTATGAAGGTGAAGGCAGGTCTCAGTCACTCTTGCTCTTTCTGCTTTCCTCTGCCTCTTTCTGTCACCCTTTAGTCTGAATGCTCTGTATGAGATTCCTAAAAAACAAAGAGTTCTTAAAGCATCAAGATTTATTGGAATATAAAAAAATTCATGAAGACAATAGCATTTGCTATTTCTTCTTTATGGTGGTAGCCACAACTGTGATTGATAGTCGAATTGATTTTCTGTTAATAGCACAGTCTGACTATAAGGTCAGTGAAAGCATGAACTTCACATTCTGTTTTCTCCACTGCATTTCCAGCACCCAGCACAATTCATTTACTCATGCATTCAATATGTATTTATGAGGCAACTATTATCTGCATGTCACTGTGCTAGGTAAGGTGAAAAATAGTTCTTATTCTATTCTAGGTACAAATAAAAATAGGTGTTGGTCTCTGCACTACAAAAGCATGTAGTCTAGTAGGTGAGACACGTACATGAATAAGTATCTCAAGGAGAGGAAAAAATGTGTCTCCAAAACTAAGAGGAGAGAGTAAGAGGAGAAAGGAGAATCAGGAGGTACCACAGTGTGATGTCTGTGTGACAGAGAAGAAAGGGAAGGGCCCTTTAGATGATCACCAAGTTGCTGCAGAATGGGGTGTATGAGACAGAGAGAGGGAAAGATAAAGCTGGAAATCTGGACTGAGACCATATTAGCAATGGCCTTGTATGTCCCACAAAGGAGTTGAGACTTTTCCAACCAGGAGGGGAATAAAAGCTTTCACACTGAGGAAATGAGCAGGTCAGATTTGTTCTCAGTGTGTGGGATGAAGCAGAGTGTGTTGCGTGTGTGTGGAGAGGGGAGTGTGGTGACTTCACAGGGCCAGTGATGGCGACGAGGGCCTGACAGAAGCAGTGCCAGTGGGATAGAGAGGAAGGCCTGGATAGCAGTGACATGTCCATGGCAGAGTGGTAGAACTTCCCATTCCTGCAGGTAAAATATGGGAGGGGAGGCAGAGGAATGAGTTGAGGATAATTCTGAGTTTTCTAGTTTGGAAGATGGGGTTGATTGGAGAAAAGAAATAAAGGGGCCAAAATTGATTTGGGACACATTAAATTTGTGCTGTGGACCCTGTTAGAATGGATTAAATTTGCAGTGGCTCCTATTAGAGGAGAAGCTAGGGGCTAGGGATCTCAAGCAAATGGGAGAGTGCATTGTAAGAAGGTAAGTTCAACAGGAGAGCCACAGGGGGCACTGACATTTAAGGAAGAAGCAGAAGAAACGCGAAGAAGAATGGGAAAGAACAGTCAGAAGTATGACAAGAGAAAGAAAAAAAATGGTGTTCCCAAGTCTCTAGGAGGCGGTAATCGCATCAGAGGCCCAGATTGTGAGTTCATACATTCTTATCTAAGGAAGGTGGTCTAGAACTGTGGAAGGTAGAATTTCAGGTGACTGCCCTAGGATATCCATATTCTAATCTCTAGAACCTGTGAATGTGTGACCTTACATAGCAAAAGGAATTTGATGGGTGGAGTTAAGGCTAAGGACCTTAAAACAGAGACATTATTCTGGATTGTCCAGGTGGGCCCTAAAAGGGAGTTGGGAGGCAGAAGAAGGAACCAGAGAGATGTGATGATAGAAGAAGAGGCAGGAGAAATTCAAAGAATGGGCAGGACTTGACCCACCATTGCTGGATTTAAAGACAGAGGAAGGAGGCCCTGAACCAAGGAATGCAGGTAGCTTCTTAGAAACTGAGAACAGCTCTCAGCTGACAGTCAGGAAGGAAGCAAGACCTCAGTCCTACACCTACAAAGACTGAATTCTGCCAACAACCTGAATGAAGCAAGAAACAGATCCTCCCCAACAGCCTCCAGAGGGGAACACAGCCTTCCAGACACCTTGATGTTAGCTTGAGTCTCAGGTCAGACTTCTGACCTACAGACTTGTATGATAATAATTTGTGTTGTTTTAAGCCAGTAAGTTTCTGGTAACTTGTTATGGTAGCAAAAGGAAACTAACACAGAAACTGAAGTGGGCCAGGTTCCTTACCTGGTCCCTCTTTCTTGGCCTTTTCCTTAGATGGCAGTGGCCCCTGGATCTGTTATTGGGACTCCTTTTCCTCCCCTCTCATATTTTTTGTTCAAACTAGAGCCAAGACCCAAATCTAATTTCAAGGACAAAGAAAAAAATTAAAGCAAAGATTGCAATTTGTTGGGCTGTGGGTCAGTCTTGTCCCTAGCTAAGTTTTGTTTTAACTGTAATGTTACAGACATTTTTAATTTCTCACTTTTTTCCTTCCTTCCTTCCTTCCTTCCTTCCTTCCTTCCTTCCTTCCTTCCTTCCTTCCTTTTTTTCCTAAGTAGAAGCTCTGGCAATACTAGGTTGGCTGACTTGAGCGGACTGTCTCTGACCCCTTTGGGACACATTCTCCAGTTCACCGCAGTCTCTACCACTCCCTCCTATCTCTCATGGACTGCTTTATTCATTTATACACCCTGCCTGTATTCTACAGGTGACTGACTTAGTGACACTAGCCTAACTGGCATTAGAACATGTTAGATCTGGGATCTTTGAAGGGAGCATGTAAGAAACTGAAAGAAGCAATCACCAAGACTTAATAAAGGAGAAGATTTTTTTTTTCCAACTCAGGGATGACCTATTAAGTACCATGAATCCTTTTAAATAACATGTTTGTGTGTTTGCATACCTACACATGAGTATACCCATGGTGAATGTGGAGACAAAGATAATTAAGAAATAGGAAGATGGGGTAAAGATCTAAGTTCAAATGGATCAGGAAAAGTACCTTTCTTTTCCTTAAGTGGGGCCCATCTATTGCCAAGATGCAGGTTCAGCCATGTCCCACTCCAATGTGAGTGTATTTCAGTATGTGACCATGAGTTAGTATTTTGCTAGATCCTCGTCAGTCACCTTGTTGCTGGCCTAACATCCCCTCTAGTCTTATGCATGGGGCTTGTGACTTGCTCCTTTTTGATGAAGCGCTTCCCTGTTACCTCAATTTCACTAACTGAGCTCTTCTTTGTTCCTTACCTGGGTTCTTGCTTTAGTTTTTTGCCTGATTTTTAGGAAGTGGGATTCTGTTTCATGCCCACTCTTCCTTCTATTAATTGCAGTCCTGTTCTAAAGATCTAGCCCTGATAGGGAAGGGAAGTCTCATATCCTTTTGTCCAGGCCTTCCTGTCTTGCTGGGCCTTCTCCCAGGGGCCCAGGGGGCTCTCCACACCTGACCTTTCTTCAGCCTCCTCTAGAGTCACGTCTGCCTACAGTCTGCCTGGATCTCCTGCAATTACAGCCCCACCAGGTGACCTCAGAGTCTCAGGCATTCACGAGCTCTGCTCCAACATCGCCTTTTTCACCCTTGTGAAAAGTCTGGGAAATAAAAAACATCGGCACAGCAGGAAGTTTTGGCTGGAAATTTGAAAGGATTCTCCAAAAAGCTTTCCAGCCCTTTCCTGTTCTGTAACCCACAGAGGTGACAAGCCAACCTCACCTCAGTGACCTCAGGTGGAGGGCTTGTTCAGGAAATTCTGACTCATTTTACTTCTGATTTTTTTCCTCAAAGGAGAGAAAATAGGCCTATTCATTTAAAATTATGACAACAGTTTAGGGATTTAGGTCAAAAACCTTAAAGGTTTTTAATCTACTAGTTGGCAAATGAACAGAACTCTCAGAAAGAGCTATTCTTTTTGTGCATGAAAAGTTGCATAAAAGGTTGGCATAGAACAAAAACAGGACAAAAAATCAGAAATGGCGTGTTCTAGTCCAGATGCTGCCATTTACTGCCCAGTAATCTTGGGAAAGTCACTTACCTTCTCTGTGAGTCAGATTCTTTAACTGTTTAAAAATAAATGATTTCTGACATGGTTGCCCACAGGGTTGTTGTGAGGACTTACTGAGACAATGGGTGTGAGTCACTGTCTAAATAAGAGATCCTACCATTAAAAGACACCATCTGTCCCTGCTGATAATTATAGCACCTTGCTCCTGATTGCCTTCAGTGATCTCTACATCCATTTCATGGGATTCTTTAACAACCTGAGCCAGGGTTTGCACACAGCCGCAAAGCTGTGGAGCAAGACCTAGAGCCCAGGTCTCCCGACCCAGCTCACTGTGGAAAGAAGCGCTTCCTCTCATGCTCTGCCCAAGTCTTACCCATTGCAGTCTGGTCCTGCCATATCTGGGCTGTCACCCCATTGCCCTTCTTGATCATTTCTGGGGAAGATGGCACCAGGGCCTTTCATTTTTGAGCAGAAAAGGTTCTGTCAGTGTTAGGAGGCCTCTGAGAGATGATTTGCCTCTGCTGGGGATCTGGTTTGATTACTTCTTCTCTTTTTTGGTGTAGGATAATTTTTGTCTGAAGGGAGAGAGAACAACCAGTTATCACAATTATGATGCAGTAATTGAAGTTGTGTTCTCTGTTGGTTTGTCGCTGTCATTTCCTTTAGGAATGGCAAGAGCCAAAACTGAAACCTTCAGGCTTCAGAATAGGGCTTCTCACATTCTTAATCTCACCTTCCCCAAGGTCTTATAAACTCTGAAGCCATGCATTGCTTTTCCAGTGTAAAGAGCTTCAAAGTATCTGGTTTGTCTTCTGGGCACTGGCACTGGCACTGGCAAATAATGCCTGGGCAGCTCCAAGTCCCTGTTGGAAGGGCAGGTCTGGAAACAGGCCTGATAAGTGACATGGCTGGCAAGGACACCAGGCCTGTCATTCAGAGGCTGCTGTCTACCACTTTGGCCCTCAAATAACTCTTTGGCACTCATCAGCTATGGTTTTCCTGACCCCTGGGGATTCTCTCAGAGCCCTAATTTAGCATCAGTTTCACTTGGAAGCTTGTGCAGAAGTGAGTTAAGCTGAAGCAGATTTTAACAGACTCAAGTCCCTTGTGTTCTTATTGCCAATATCCTGCCAAGCAGAAGAACAGATCTTCTTTCTTTCCCACCTTATGCACCCTGCCCTGAGCAGCCTGGACTATTTGGAAAGCTGGCAATAAAAGATCATCTGAATAAAGAGAATGTAGGATACATATACACAATATAATACTAATCAGTTATAAAAAGATAAAATCATGTCTTTTGCAGCAACATAGATGGAACTGGAGACCATTATCTTAAGTGAAATAACTCAGAAAAGGAAAGTCAAATATTGCATGTTCTCAGTTATAAGTGAGAGCTAAATAACATGTACACCTGGACATAGACAGCAAAATAATAGACACTGGAGACTTGGAAGGGTGCAAGAGTGGGAGGTGGGTAAGGGATGAGAAATTACCTAATGGGTACAATGTATACTATTTGGATGCTGACTACACTAAAACCCCAGACTTCACTACTTCCCGATATATCCATGTAACAAAACTGCACTTGTACTCCTTAAATCGACAAAAATTAAAAATACAAATCAAAGATCATCTGGGACACTTCCACAGCAGTAGTATTCTATTGAAAAGTGGGTCAGAGACTCCAACTTCTTAGAAGTGCTTGTCCTATTGGAGGTGAGAAAAGACCCCCACAGAGAAACACCTCCTTAACTTCCCACCAGAGGCAGCAAGTTCAGTTTCTAGGTTCTGCATGCTGAGGAGAGGCAGGGTACGAGGCTAGTCTCTGGAAAGTTTATACCATCTCCCATTGCGTGCTTGGACATAGCAGCTCTGAGCTGAAGAAGAGGATTCCCAGCTCATGCCTACCCCTGGACAGGATGCAGCTGTATGGCAGATACCACGAGTCTTGGCTGAGTAAGGTTGCTTGATGAAGCTAAAGAGAAATACAGAGAAAAACTGCATCAGAACTCATGACACAGACTCAGTCACTGAAAGGTCTCCAGCCTGGAGGACCACGCCGGGAGGGCTTCCATGGATACCTCCAGGGCAGGGGTTGGAAAGTGAAGGTAAAGCAGGCCTGTTCCAGGGATATTCAAGAGACCTGGTTTCTACACTGCAATTTGTGTGTTTGCGTGTGTCCCAGGAGACCTTTCGGCTGGACACGAAGCCCATGATGTCAATCACATAGACCCAGGGAAGTAAAATAGGAGATTAGGGTGGATGAACACTAGAATCACAAGACTTTAGGACTGTTTAGAGCCTATGGATCACAGGCAGTGTTCCATAGTGGCCTCCCCCCTGAAGCAATGAGGAAACATGTACAAATGGGCAGGTCAGGTGCACTGGCATTTCATGCCTGTGAGATGCAGAAAAGCAGTATTTCCAACTTCTTCCCGTAATAGAAGCTGGCAGTTGGGATAGAAAGGGAAGGTTTGTTAGGAGAGACCATGTGGAAACAAAGGCAGGGTTAGTGTGTGGGAGTGGGGTTACCTCCTTAAGACTGAAGATGGGGAAGAAAAAGGATATAATATGGCCTCAGTATGTGAGATTAGAACTGAAGGGTTTGTGACAGGGAAGAGATGCATAGCAGGAGCCTCCAGGAAGCAGGAGGTATGAGATGGTGTGTTCAAACCAGCAGTTAGTCTCAGTGTGAGGGAGAAGTGACAACTAGGACATTGTGATAGTCTCTTAATAAAGATCATACACCATGCCTGGAAATGAGGAGTCAGCAGAGATACAGAGAAGCTTAAGGTACCTGCCTTCCTGGGGTTACAAAAACCAAGAAGATAGAATTATTTAGATGAGAGTTGCCCACAGAGCCATGGAAGGAGGTCAGGAGACACAATTTTCACCTCCTCTCTGCCACTCACAAACTATGTGATCTTCAGCAAGTTACTTCACATTTTGGGGGTCTCAGTCTCTTTACGGTCAATAAGGGGACTGGTCAAGCTGGTTTTAAAGTCACCCTCTGATTGAGTAGCAAACTTTTGCTGTCAGTGGGGATCCAATTCCAACTCACAATTTTGAACTGAACTTATTGCTTCCCGTTGAGGCTGCAACCACTCAATACCTCTGAGCAAGGTGAACCTTAAGATGGCATTGTCTCCTGGGGAAGGACAAAAACAAGCATTAAAAACACTTGCAACAACTCTTACTGAAATAAATCTTTCTAAGTAAGTAATAAAGCTCTTGTTTAACACACCTTAGATGACAAAATGTTAATGATAAAACATTATCTAAATCTAAACCTTTGTATGTGAAATGCTATGGTTTGAATGTCACCTCCAAAACTCATGTTGAAGTTTAATTGCCGCAGAGATGGTATTAAGAGACAAGACCTTCAAAAGGTGATGAGGCTGGCCGGGCACAGTGGCTCATGCCTGTAATCCCAGCACTTTGGGAGGACGAGGTGAGTGGATCACCTGAGGTCAGGAGTTTGAGACCAGCTTGACCAATGTGGCGAAACCCCATCTCTACTAAAAATACAAAATTAGCTGAGCATGGTGGTGTGTGCCTGCAGTTCCAGCTATGTGAGAGGCTGAGGCAGGAGAATCGCTTGAACCCAGGAGGTGGAGATTGTTGTGAGCCAAGATCACGCCGTTGCACTCCATTTTCAGCCTGGGCAATAAGAGCGAAACTCTGTCTCGAAAAAAAAAAAAAAAAAAGATGATGAAGCCACGAGGGGTCTGGTGTCATGAATGGATTATTGACATTATCATGGGAGTGGGTTTGTTATAAAGGTGAGTTCAGCCGTCTCTTGTTCTCTCTCATACTCTCTTGCCCTTCTGCCTTCCACCATGGGGTGATGCAGCATAAAGTCCTTTGCCAGATGTTAGTGTCACGCTCTTAGACTTCCCACTCCCCTGAATCATGAACCAAATACATTTCTTTCTTTATAAATTACCCAATATGAGGTATTTTGTTTTAGAAACACAAAATGGACTGAGACATGAGATCAAGGATGTGAGGCTGAGAGAGGGGAGCACCATGCTCAAGGTCTCGCAACTTGTACATGATGACTCTCTGATGCTGTTTCCAGATTCACAGACCTGATTTCTTTGGTTTTCAGAACTTTCCCCTGAAAGACATTCAGCCTTGTCCTCACCAGCCACTGCCCTGTTCACTATCCTCTTCCTTGTTAAAATTCCCTTGTGCTCAAGTACCAATCACAGCTGTATGACAGAGATACATTCTGAGAAATGTGTCATTAGGTGATTTTGTGGTTGTGTGAATATCGTAGAATGTCCTTACACAAACCAAATGGCAGAGCCCACTACACACTCAGGCTTTATGGAATAGCCTATTGCTGCTAGGCTACAAACCTATACAGCAAGCTACTGTACTGAATGCTGTTGCAATTGTGACCCCATGGTATTTGTGCATCTAAACATATCTAAACATAGCAAAAGTGCAGTAGAAGTACAGTGTTATAATTTTATGAGATTACCATTGTATATGTGGTTTATTATTGACTGAAACATCATTATGTGGCGCATGGCTCTGTGTGTGTGTGTGTGTGTGTGTGTGTGTGTATATATGCATATTTATTTTTTGTGAATTCGTACATAAGTAAATATGTGTATGCTTTCATATATCTGCTTTTATATATATATGTCTGCTTTCATAAAAATTATATGTACATAAAAACATATTTATCACATTAAAACTATATATGCAGGTTTTAATGTTGTCGCTTAATACTATAAAATAAATGCTTTCTAAATGGGAGGGTTTAATGGAGATAGAGCAGGGGGCTTCTTAAGCAGCAGGAAAGCAGATCATCCTCTCCATGTACCCTCAACAGAGACTGTGACCGGCATGCACAGAGGTGTCCCGGAGTTATTGCTGGGGAGAGGTACCCTCTACTAGCACTGCTAGTGACAGATAATTTGTGCTTTACCCTGAGTCCTCCGTCTCCCTGAGGGCCAAGTAAATGAGCTGTCCCGGCTCCAGCAAACACCCTGGAGGAAGCCTTGAATTTGGCCCCTTGGGTCCTTGCTTTCTCTTCGCAAGTCTTGGTTGCTAGAGAATGGGGCTGTGAGTCATGGTGGAGCTTACCTCCACTCGAGAAAGGATACTTCTCCGTAGATTTAGGAGGGCTTTTTCTGTCCTTGAACTTCTTCCCCCTGTACTGTAAGTAAGAGCGGGTCGCCTTCCAGAAACAAAACCTGTGGGAAGAAAGGCTTCTGGTCACAGGAGGGAACCCCCAGTGGAGGGGGCTGGAGCACCGAGCACAGGGGAAATGGGACCAGGCCAGTCCTCAGAGAATATGGGTGTCCAACAGAGAAGAGGAGAGCATCCTGGCCTTGGAGTACTACCTGCCAGTGGCCTTTGTTCTGAGGCCTCCTCTTTGTCCAGACCTGGCTCCAGTGGGGGCCTGGCATGGGCAGTTTGTTGGGACTTCTTTC